TAATTAGCTTTTAAGGATCTTGTCACTTTCTGTCTCTTTTTATACATTATGATGTTCATTAGCATTCTTTATATACTCAAAAATAGCAAGTGGAAAACATGTGTTAAGAAGAGGTGACACTGTGGCTGCAAATGCAAAAGTTTGTCCATTCCAAGGTCACTCGTAGATCCCCAGTTATAATGTTATGATCTGATGATAAGAGTAGCGATAGTTCATTTAAACTTTTCCAAAACGAAGCAGCTTTTCCTTTTTGCGGACTTTGGGAAAATAATATGGATACTACAATATTCAAAGTTACAGAAAAAAGAAGGTCTATCGATATCTAAATAAAATATTGGATTGGGCAAAATGTATGGTATGAGTATAGTATTGTGCTTAAAGGCATGGATTTTGGTGTCAGACCTAGATTCAAATTCTAACTCTGCCACTTTCTAGTTTGAGAGTTTGGGCAGAGATCTCATCTCTGTGAAATGGGTGTGGGTAATATCTGCATCACAGGACTGTGAAAGGATTAAATGAGGTATTGTAGATGTCTTAGCCAGGAAGCTCTTGGAAACAAAATGTAAGTCAAGGATTAAACTGCCAGTCCTTTATTTGGGTGGTTCTAGCGCAGGACAACGAGGGTGAGGGAGAAGGGGGAGTGAAGTGTCAGAGATGGAAACAGACTCTGAGACAGTTATTTGGTTTGTGAGTGTTATTGGGGAGCGTTTGGGGAATAACGTCTCTAAGGGAGTGGAAAAGGAAAGCAGAGGGAGGTGATGAGATGCATCAGAAGTCTCAGCCAATCTCAGGAAGCTCTGGGCTTTGGATGGGCCTTGAGAGTAGTGCTAGATTGGCACAGAGGCTCTGGGCCTGTGTATTCCTTCAACCACCAGTCATCGGATGCAGACTGGGGGAGACGGTGACAAAACCTGGGGTGGGGCAGCTGATTTTCGCCAGTGGGATGTAGCTTGAGCTGTCAGCCACCAACAGTCAGGGCAGCTGTATTGGGTGCTTTGGTCCTATAGGGAGGATGTGATAGGATGACCTCCTGCAGCCCTGGACCACTGCTTCACATCACGTTCCAGAGTGACTCAACCTAGTGGAGCAGGTGTGCATTCTTTTGTTAGCCACATAGGTTTTCTCCCCATCTGCAAGGAGACCTCTCAAAGCAATATGTGAAAGACAGTAAAAAAAGGAAATTCATTTGCATAGATCTCTTCTGTCTTCTATTTCCCACTGGTCAAGGTTTACCCCATGCTTCCTGCCTCTTAGGAAGCCAGATTCCTTGCTCTGCCTTGTGGGAAATCTCATCCGTAAAGTGCACACTAGTGTCGAGAGAGAAAGGAGATCATTGACGGGATTTAAGAAAGCATAAAAGATTCCTCTTCAGTTATGTAGATAAAGCAAGTAACCTAGTACGCAGCTCACAGGAAACATTCTCTAATGTAGCGCCTTACTATGTGCCAGCCACTACTCTGAGCACTTGACACAGATTAATCTATTCGATCCTCACAATAGCTTGATGAAGAAGATACAAATACTGATAATATATTTGCATTTTACAGATGAGGATGTTGAGGCTCAAAGATTAAACAGCTAGTAAGTAGCCCAGCAGAGATTTTATAACCAGGTGTAATTTCAGAGTCTATGTTGTTTAACTGCTCTACTATATTGCCTCCAAGTGGCTATTCTTATTTTTATTATTGTTATCACGATTAGAATATGTAAATATTTTATTATCATTATAGATATCATTAGCAAAATATATTCAAATATGTAAAGCTTTACATAGTTTCAGTAATTTTTGCCTTTATTTTCAAGCTAATACCACAAAATGTTTTGTATATATAAAAACTGGTACAGAAAGTCTGGGGACTTCTCCTGGTTTCTCTAACTATATAATAGGAAACAGGATCATAAGATAAAAGAAAATAATCATGGTTCCTTCAATAAAAGTAGCTTCTGCATAGTATTTCTTGCATCAGGATGACTATAGCCAGGTCTGTGGTTAGAGAATCTGCAAATCTAGGGATTCTAATTCCATTTCTGCCATTAACTGATTTGTTATTCAGAATGGGTCATTTCATCTTTTTATGTGTTTTCATATTTGTAAAATAGGGTAATTAGTTATACCTATCCCATATATATCACAGGATTTTTTTTGAAGATAGAAATAAGTCAATATACCTGAAATTAAAAATATATATATTCATAACAACCTGAAACTATTTGGAGAAATTTTTAATTGTTTAAAAAGCATTTTAAAAATTGCTGGATTAAAAAATAGGTAAATTTTATATTTTTGCAGGGATCCCTAGTTACAATGGTTTCCAGCTTTTAATCTTTAGTGGGATCATAATTTTTTACTGCATCCTTTACATTGAGCCATATCTTCATCTAGATTGCTATAACAAAAACCTGTATATCAAGGATAAATAATTTATTCAGCTCTTCCTACTTGGTTATTTTTTTTTTTTTTTCCTTGCATTATGCGGGCCTCTCACTGCTGTGGCCTCCCCCATCTGCGGAGCACAGGCTCCGGACGCGCAGGCCCAGCGGCCATGGCTCACGGGCCCAGCCGCTCCGCGGCATGCGGGATCCTCCCGAAACGGGGCACGAACCCGCGTCTCCTGCATCGGCAGGCGGACTCTCAAGCACTGCGCCACCAGGGAAGCCCTCTACTTGGTTATTTAACAAAGAATATTTAACATAAATATAATTGTGGTGTTCAATACAACTGTATACTCTCAAGTAGGGCAATAAATCAGCTAGGAAGTTTAGATTGATTTTTTTTTTCAATAATTGTATGAATTGAGTAAATTAATTATTTTTGTGGTTTGAGATTACCCCAGATTAGTTTTTCTAGGGTTTTGTCAAATTTCTTGGATTTATTTGTAGGGCTTCCCAGTTCCTTCTAGATTTACTCTGTGTTTTCTTTATATACCGGAAACACATTCTTTTACACCTCTCTCAGTTTTGACTCTCCTTGTCAAGCTCCCCAAGTACACATTGTTTTAATTTTATGTTTCCATATCCTGAAGATGGATGGTTTTTACTACTTTAAGTAATTTCCACCCTCATTTTGTATCCAAGTCCTAGTTACTTCTTTGTACCTTGCCTGTTCATGTATGTGTTCAATTTTATTGGGCCTTTTTTCTTTCTTATGTAAGATCTCTTCATATTCATTAAATTATTTATAGAACACAAACTTCTTTGTAGATGTGTTTTTTAATTTTTGTGATTACTCGGAAAATTCCTGTCCTTATCTTTGGAGTAACATAAAAGTGGATACATGCATATCTGTGTAATTATCCTTATAGCGTCAGTTCACTGGTTATTTTAAATTATCTTAAAGACTTATAAGAGGAATTAGAGAAGAGATATTTATTTTTTACATAATATCAAAAGTAAAGGTGAAAACTAATGACGTACTCACTTCCTTATGTAACATATGATTGTTACTTTTCCTGGTAAAAATTCTCATTTATTCATATGTAACTGCCTTGAAATTTGTACCTAAGGACAAAGAAAGGTCACCAATCCCTGTAACTCCTGGTTCTTTGTCAAAAATGGACACAGTTAATGAGGTTTGTTTGGTACAGAACAAATTCTCAGACACAGATAGAGATCCTTTCAATGGAAACAAATTTGTTTGGCTTTACCAGGTTACTTAGCGATTAATAATAGCCTTGAGATGCAGGTCAGAAAGGTCATTGTACCAGCCTGCCAGCACAATCTAAATGTGCAGCCAGCCCAGCTCTGTGGGTGCAGAAGCCCCCAAAATACTATGCATAAAGTAAAACAAGCTATTTTCTGACTCCTTTTTTCATATTAATAAGCAATTTTCAAGAGAAAGGTAGCAAAATGAGGGCCATGCCACTCCAAGTAATTCATTTATTTTGCAATTTAATCTTATGTTGGAAAAAATAGCTCTGCTGCAATAGCAGAGCATGGTGATTTTTAAACGTCAGAGTGTTTCATAAGTAACCTTGTATGAAGTATTGTGTTAGTAGCCTTTAACAGAAAATTGCGACAAAAATATTTCCACTCATTGAAGTAGAAACGAGAATCTTTTTTTTTTTTTTTTTAATTTTTGGAATTCTCCCCTCTACTTTCCCTGCTATCTTTGAGGTATGTGCCCAGATGCTTTACTTAAAATTTTACTTATAGAACTAGACACTAAGTTACATATCTGTTTTTTAAAAGCATAAAGTACAATTTCAAAACATTATTTTAACATGAGTGGTTAAACTTGTTCTCTGAAAATAAAGGATTTATTCTTCCATAATTTGATAATATTCTATTTAGCAGGTATTTGTCACAAAGTATATTTTAAGAGGGGATTTTTTTGTTTAAATTTTTAAAATACATATACATAAGTGATGAAAATTTCATTATTTTAATGGAATTTATGACACTTAGAAAGTTGTGAACTTATGCACCCAATTTGGCTTTTATTCTAATTATTGATATAATTGAACAAAATGTCAACCTTTCAAGTACAGGATAATATATGTAATCTTGTTGATATTATTTAAACTGTTTAACTGAAGTAAACTTAGAATAAATTAAGTATATGTGTAAAAACCCATCACACTTTTTAAATTAGCCTGTTAGTGTGTAAAGTAAACAATGAGAACTTGGTAAATACCAAATTTAAAGGAAATCAATAGCCCAGATGTTTTCTTAGGATATTTAACTAAGTCCAAAATAGCCAAAGAAAATGATAGCATAGTAATTAACTTACTTTGCATCTGATACAGTTCCTCAGCTATTGAACTGATTATAATATGTAGATACTTGATTTCCAAAATTTCACCACTGAAAAATCACTTAAATGCTTTTTAAAGATTGCAAAGATTCCCCTAGAATGTGCCGGTAAGTTCGATCCCACTACAGATTTTGATGGATGTGGACAATGATTACCCCTCGAAAACTTACTTGATTCTCATCAGTAAAAGAACTAAAAGGTTAGCAGAGTTTTCGTATCATGAATAACCGCAAACTGATTCCTGCAGGAAGGCTCTGGAGGAGTTTGCAGAGATGAAAGAAAGGGAAGAGAAGGCGGACCTGGAAAGGAAGGAGAAAAAAAGAGATCACCAAGCCCGAAAGATGCATTACCTCCTCAGCACAAAGCAGGTTGGTCTACCTGTCCCTGACAGCTCGCGGAAGCCACTTGGGCACCCAGCCTGACAGAGATAAACTAGCAGGCTGAATGGGACATGACTCGTTGAAAAGATATCACAAAGACACCACTTCGAGTTCAATCCCGTGCTGCTGTGTAGGTGCACGCAGGCACCCCGGCTGGTGTGACAGCAGCTTCATAGAGGCAGCCGGGCGAGGCTGGCAGAAAGGTCCAAGTCAGCACTGCGATCCGCCACGAAGGGCATAACCTTCCTTTCCAAATCCAGCCTGAGTGGCTTATCGCTGTGTTGTGAATTGATCAAGAACTAAGAAGTTATTAAGCTGAGGTCACTTTCATGTTTTCTCTGTTAATTGAGCGAATGTTGAGATTAAAACCATTCTTGCATCCTTTCTAGTCCATTAACCTAAGAAATTCCGAGGCAAGTTTTCATGTATAGCTTTTAAACATACTGCTTGAGCAGTTGCACCTTCGTATAGAAATATAAATGTGGGATTTGGAATACTTAGAAATTTCTTTTCTGATACGTGGGAAGATTTTGCTGCTTCAGATCTCGTCATGGTTGCTAAGAAAAGAAAAACCTTGCAAGTCGAATATTCTGCTCACAAAGAAATACGGTTTAAAAAAAGCATGAAAAAAAAAAAAGCATGAATTTGGGGGATGATATGTGTTTTGTTACTTGAGCTTGAGGCTGGAAACTAGCAATTTCTTGGTTTTTATTCTTTCTCCTAGACTTCAAGTCCAGTCTTAGAGTTCTAGCTGAGTCGCATATGCAGATGTCTTCTGACAGGGAGGGGCAAGTGAAGTCCCAGTGGGAGAGGGTGAGAGCTGAGACTGAATGTCTTCCTTAGAGGCATCCAAAGTTGAAACCATATTAAGTACTGGGCTGGCCATGTAAGTTTGGAAAACTGGCCTCCTGTACCTCTAGCTTCTATTTGGTAGTTGAAATAACAATAATGATGACTATCGTAATATTTACTTGGACTTGGGTAGCTGAGTTGTCTTTATTTAACAGGCAAGGAAACTGAAACTCAGATAATTATGTGACTGGTCATAGGCTGAAAACTACTAGTAATAGCTCTGGTATTCAGACTGAGGTCTTTCAACTCTAAATATGCTTAGGTAATAATTTAAAGAGAGTTTTAAAAATAAAAGGTATTTTATTTTTCACTTTTTATTATATTTATTTTATATATATATTATATTTTATATAATATATTTATTATTATTTATTTTATTATTTATTATAATTTATTATAATATATAATATATATTATATTTTATTATAAAATCCATAACAATGTAAATGTTTTAGTCGTTTGATTAGTGGGCTACATTTTAAAGATATAGAATTACAGATCAAGGATTCTTTTTAGCAAAACATTTTTTTCAAACTTTAGTTACTAGTAATTTCAATTTTGATGAAACTAAGGGGGGCTATAAATATATCCTGTAATTCTTTAAACCTAGTAATAATTCTTGGGGACAGTTTTTTCTATGATAACTTTGAACTCTAAACTTTGAAACTTAATCTGAGTCCTAATTGTGTGGTTTATACTTATGATTGGTAGTGTGATAGAGAAAGCAGTCTTAAAAATGGTGAAATCAGATTTAACTGAAACATCTGTCAATTCTGTTTTATCCAGGGTTATTTAGTTATTGGGTGTATAGTGGAATAATTTAGAAAGACCATAAAAACTTGGATGTTTTACTAATAAAAATAATATAATAGCACATATCCACGGAGTGCTTACCATGTGTCAGAGAGTATGATAGATATTTTATATACATTATTTTTTTAAAGTATTTTGATTTCATTTTGGTTTTTCATTTAAGTGCCTGGTTTAGCAAAGTATTTCACAAACCTGACCATGTGACTTGGCTCACGGACCTTAATGAATTTTCAAGCAATATTACCATTATGTTTTAGGTATGTTTGTATTAACAATGCAAGCTGTCAATGCAGTATCTCCTTTTTCTCCTGTTTATCCCATGTTGGCTGCTAGTAATATCAGTGTATATAAATTTTAGTTTAGTGATCACTTGTCCCCAGAACTTCCTGGCATCCAATAAAATGTTTCTTTTTTGAGGCGCTATGGTACAGTAGAAATAGTGTGAGCATTTACATCAGTCAGAGCTAAGTTGGCATGCAAGCTCTCTCACTTAGGGTAAGGTATTAGGAGATTACCTAGAATTGTCTGAGCCTCTGTTTCACTCTGCACCTTGAGAGAACATTGTGAGGGCTAAATGTAATGTATTTAAAATATTGCCAGGCCCTTAGAGAACATTCAGTAAATGATAACAATCATATTATTAGAATTTAACCTGTCAAGGATAAACTAAGATTCTACACTTTCATGTTCTTCAATTTGTCTTAGCTGTTGGAAGCATTCATTTTCTCATTTCCTTTCTTTGCTTTTCTTTAGTTATTAAAGAAAATTAGTTAGAAATCTTCATAATGGTGTTGCCTACCCTACATTTCACACCTGGCTTCACAGACCTGAGGGCAATACAGAGGAAATGATGTTTTTAAATCACCTCCCTTGAAGAGGAATATTATTAAAATGTCAGGGGTTTTCATTTGAATCTTGCAAGCTGGTGTATTTTATCACAGTGGTCTTTAATATTCGATCACAATTAGCTAGAGATAAAAGGGACAGCCCTTTGAAACTATGGGCACACTTTTGTTCCTGAGGGAGGCTTTCTTTTTCCTTTCTTTCTTTTCTCCCTCCCTCCCTCCCTTCCTCCCTTCCATCCTTCCTTCCTTCCTTCCTTCCTTTTCTTTCTTTCATGATAAAATAGAATAGTGGCATCATCCTGGTCTCATCTGTTTACTTTGGTCAGGGGATTGCTTGTACTAACAGGATGGTACTGGAAATTTTAAATGTTTTGTTCCTTATATCTACCAGATTTCCTTTACTTAGCTTTAAATTAGTGCTTTTCATCATGAAATTAAAAAGTCGAATTTTAAAACTGATATTATAGGTACAATTATAAATCAACTTCACCTACACAAAAATATGCAACACTGATATTTACTAAATAGAGTGAATATAAATCTTAACTTTAAAATTCATCAGTTAATTGCTCCAGATAACATATTTTTGAGTACCTACAATCTTTCTGCTACTGTGCTAGGACTAGGATCAGGTCATACAAATGTATATTATGCTCCTTAACCACAAGAAGCATTCCATCTAATTTCAGTCTAATGCCAGACAATTTTTTGGGGGGGCTGGAAGGAAATCGCCAGCTTTCTGTTACAGCTTATATAGGCAGTCTCACTGAAATTAACAACCTATATTTATGGTTTTGCTGATTCCATTTACTATTTTATTTTAATAAAAATCTTTAAATACTTTTCCAAACCTAAGCAAGAGTCAGAGAATGAAAGATACATATTTCATTTTGAGTATTGTTAATGATCTTTTCAGAATGGCTTGGCTATTGAGAAGAAATGAAACTGCAGTTTTAAAAATATTCTTAAGTCATATGTTTATAGATTAATTGCATTGCTTGTTTTTAGAGTTTTGTTTTCAAATTATATTAAATACACATTTAAGTACAAAATAAATGCAAAATATGAATTTATTTATATTGAAAGGCTTGTGTAAGTTTTAACTCTCAATTTGTGCAGATGTTTTAAAATTTACTGAAAAACGATTCAAACCTAAGTAATTTTTATAAGAAGTATATGAGGATGAGAAAAGTTTTCTTGAGCTGCTTAAACGGAATAATTCTAACAGCATTGTTAGACAGGAGAAAAACACTACTTTATTGGTGAGCTCAATAATTTAGGAATGATGTTAATGTAGTTTATAGAATACTAATTTTCATATTAAATTTTCATAGTTCTAATATAGCTTAATTTAGATGAGTTGAAATAAAACATTAATTCAGACAAATAAATGCATAAGAAAAGGTGAAGAATTTTGTCAGCTAAAATTGTGAATATGTGAATTCATATACAGATAATAAATGAAGTCATGTGTTTTTTAATATATTAATTTTAGGATGATTATGCTGATATACTGACATACTGACAGCGTAGTTTTATTAAAGTCAGTTTTAAGCCTTTTTTAGTATAAATCTAATGTACATCTTAAAATCTATTACTAATTTTTATTGATAATAATTATCTCATTTTTATGCAAGCAGATGTATTAGCATTAATAGGAATTACACAAGTAAATAACTAATATTGCAATGAGTGAATTAATAGACCCCTCAGGGTTTTATTAATTAAAAAGCTCAAGTCATATTAAAGCACCTTTTGTATATGTTTATTTCAATCAGAAAGCTGAACATGGTAACTTATTTGCATAAATAATCAATCACCATTTACTAGTAGTAATAGGGTTAATTTGTTGCTACAGACATAATAGGATTAGTCAATTATATTTCCCAGAAAATGCTATTTGTTATGCACCCCATCACCTGTAAAACAGGATTGGTTTAGCGCCCTTATTAAATGAGCACTTCAAAAAGTCTCTGTCCCTGTAAAAGTTTTGTGAAAACAAAGCTAATTTTAGTTGATTTGAATAAGTAAAATGCAAACTCTGCTTCCATTCGTAAATTTAATTTATCTTTCTGCAAAGATTGATTATTTAATAGTTATTTATTTTGATTCAGTAACCAGTCAAACTAAATCTAACACATATAGGACATACTCCCTTTGAAGAAAATCTCCTTTGCAGATTTGTTTTATTCCAAATAAACAGACTTTCATTCCCTCGTCCTTGTTCTTGGGTAGTAAATTATGTTGTCTGCTCCACCTACTGGCAGATATATGCAAAGGCCTATTGTGGGATTCATTAAAAGATACTGCCTCTGAAATGTTGCCAGAATTTTTAAGTATCCTCCTGGAGATCAGCAAAGTTGCAGATACAAATGTAAAACTCAAGATCTATTCAGAAAAATTAATATTTAGAAATACAGGTTATTATATAAAATTACACACAATAGTTTCCTGATTAGTGAAAATGTTACCCTGTTT